GAGGACACGGGCGAACCGGCCATAGAGTTCATGTCATTCGTGTAGTTCTGGGAGATGGTGGGTGACAGGACGCCCGACTGGAACGCCGCGCTCACCGCGTCATGCTCGTCCAGGAGCTGCTGGAGCGCGCGGATGTACTCCACAGCCGAGCGCAACGTCTCCACTTTGCTCATCTTCTTGTTCGCCGCTCCGTTGGGAACGTGTTCGCGGAGAGTGGCAAAGCCGTTGTTCACCAGCTTTACCCGGTTGCGTTCTCTCTCGTTCCGCCTGGCCACCGCGTGCGGCTGCTGCTGAGGCAAGCTGTACCCGAAGCCGGCGAAGTTGAGCCTCCTTTTGCACCGGAGCAGCTCCGGGGAGGATGAGCGCTGCCTCTTCGCCTGCTTCGATGCGGACTTGTTGCTGCACTGGCTGTCGGTCGGACTGAGTTGGATGCTCTGCGAGGCAAAAAAGCAGGCAGGTGGCATGAACTGCTGCTGGTTTACGCTTATTTCCATCTTGGCAGTGATGTCCATTTCGCGTATGGAAATAAAGAGCGAGGGAAAGCACAAAAGTTTCTTTGGACTGCCCAGTGGCCGTGCGTCTTGCTCGTGGAGTTCACGTGTGGCTTCAATGGGCAGGGGTGCTCCGGACTCTCGACCTGTTCTGAGTTAGGAGATGGAAACAGCGCGGCCTTTTCAATACGCCGACGGCTAGCCGCGCGTTCTCCTGACCACGCCCCCTGAGATGCGCTTGCTTTGCGTACGCCAGGCGCGTGCCGCTCCTGCCACTGAGTAAACAACTTCTCGTAAAGAATGACTAGAGGTGTTTTTCGGTTATGACAAGTGTTTCTCGAAGAACAAACACGCACACACTTAACTTCGAGCTGCAATGAAGGGATCCCGTGACCTTGTAAAATTAAACTAGGGCGCATTTCGATTTTTCATTATGGCGCTTAATTGAGAAACGCGTCATTAAACTGACGATTGATAATGTTAAAACACTGGAAAAAAAAGATTGAGAAAAATATAAAAGAATCGAGCATGTTTACGGACACGATGCTAATATAGACTCTAAAGTTCATGAATTTGTTCCAATTTTAGGCTTTTATGATAATGGCAGAATAATTACACAGTTTATCAGGAAAAAGAGTTTAGAAACAAAACAATTCATAAGGAGAGAAAACTATCAAATATTGTTTAAATAACTACTGGCATCAATGATAACAATTTATAACATTTCAAACATATTTGTCCTGACATATACGGGAAAAAAGCAAATGTAGTTTGGAGGACAGATAAATCAAGAACATGGCTATACTTTAAAAAATGTGCGAATGATTTGTGTTGAGAACCCCAATTTGTTTAATTTAATCACATACGATCACATTTTCTAAATAATAAGACCCACTTGTTCACATCCATTCAGAGGCGAACAAACTCATTCAAAGCACTTTGCTTTCACTGGACTCAAATGTAGGCTATAGTTTAGTTATGAATTCACGCCTGTCACGGTAACGGTTACATTGTTAACGCGTTACAACCATACAATAATATTGCTCAATATATAGAGAGAGAATCTTTAGGGAATCAGAGCGCAAGATGAATTCGGCCAGTCATTATAAGAAATCATCACAGCTGGAAAGGCGGAACGGATGGGTTATTTTGTGGACGCGCGTTATGAAAAGCTCCCGACATTTCATTCAGTCTATTTGCTTGCATTATATCTCTCGATTAATTTCGCTTCTTTCATAGCATGATAATGGCACATTACTTTCAACCAACTTTGTTTGAATGACTCTGCCTGCGCCGGTGTTGTGTGCGCGCGCGATGCATGTGGAGCGGAGAGGAAGGGGGGCAATAAATTGTGTAATTTCTCTTAGTTGGCTGAGGCATTCAAGATCAGGCCAGCATTCAAGCACCCAGCCCCCTCCAACTTTCTTTTCTCTCCCTCTCTCTCTTTTCCCCCCTTCTCCTTTTTTTTTTTTTTAGAGCAGCAAGGGCGTTTAGAAAAGAAGCGTGGGTTCTATTCACTCCGGCTGGGACTCTCTGAAACATATCCACCATGCTCTGTCAGTGCATTTGCAGAGTCCAATTAGCGTTTTGTAAGCCCCTCTTTCTTTCATGATACTCTAGGCTCAGGGAAGGTTCCAGTCAGTCATTCCCGGGTGTAATAATTAATATGACATCTGGGGCGTCTGAACTTCTATTGAAACACCTCTGCACTCGGAGAAATGCTTTAAATTAATAAAAACAAAACAACTCCATACAAAGACGTTTGTTTTCTCGTTTTGATATCCAGGATTATATTTCAATTTGTAAGCTGTTAAAACTACATCGTAAAGTTTTTTTTTGTTGTTGTTGTTTTTTTTTTGTATCGCTTCAATGACTATTCATTGCTCCTTTTGGAGCAGATGCGTGGCGTTTATGCACTTCTATTTCTGATGTTAGTGGATGAGAGCATGTTGAAGTAAATGAAACGGTCATATCATATTCTTGAAACAACCGAACACCGATTCCTTGTTAAATGCGTGCGCGTGCTTCACACCCAAGTGCCCGCGCATGAAAGTCTGCAGCGCGCGATCCACTGCAGTCATGCAGAGACATAATGTACGCAACAACATGTTTACTGCATATGTGCATAAGATAATCCTATAAAACACTGTTACAGAGGATCTACAAGTTGTTGAACAGTTATTTGGAATATTTTGGGTTCCCCAAAGAACCTTCATTTGAATTATCTAAAAAACCTTTTATATAAATAACTTTTTGTAAAACATGGATGTTTAAAGTTCTTCGTGGAACGAAAAACAACTTTTAATTTTAAGAGTTTTTGGGGCTAAATTATTTGGTATCATACTTTAAAACAATTGCAATTAAAAATGATTAGAAACTTTACCAGTCTTCATATTATATGTACACATGATATGGTCAATAAATTATGGCAACATGTTTTTAAATTGCGTTAACTTATCAAAATGAGTTAATCCATTTAAAACCTTTTTTAAGTTATACAAGATTGAACTTATTTTTAAGTCAGTTTAATGTAATTCAAGTTGAAATGACGTATTGTAAAAATTGCTGCCTTAAATTTTGAAGTATAGTGTACTACATTTTTATGTAAAATGAAAAAAAGTGACATTTTTTATTTTTAAGATTATGTTTTGTAGGCCACTTTAACTAAATAAACTTCAGCTATATGTTTTTTTTTTTCTTTTTTTTTTTTCGAAAAACTCCCCATAATATAAGGCAAACGCCAGATGTGTTGGTCTTGAACATGTGCATGCACCATATCTTGATGTGTTTTTGTGATAACATTTCTATACAGAGGGAGGGATACTGCATCCTTACCTGAAAACATCTGCAGGTGTTGAAGGGTAATTGTGTCCAGATGTTCATTCAAGAAGAGTCTTTGCCTGCTGTTGTGCAATTTCTGAGGACTTCAACTCTCAATAGATCAGGTAGTTGGGTCATGGTCCTACATCTCCTGTGTAAACATAGACATAATGCAATATTCCCATATCCTACAGTGATAACATATTATTTTAACATCAATTTCCGAGGTAGTAGGCTGATGAAATGAATAGTGCTTTTGTATTGGACTGATTCTAGGTATGATTTTTATACATTAAGTGTAGGTCTAATTGGTATTTAATACAGTATAGTGTACAATAGGCTATTAGCCTTCTTTGTATTGAACAGTGGATAACGGAATGGCTGGTAAATGGTACAGACACATACTGCCATCTACTGGAGAAGTCATGATTGGTTTGTGCAAGAATTTGTGCGTGTATGTGTGTGTGTAAACTCAGAGCCTCCACTTTGTCTTTTTGTGTAGTCTATGTTTACCAGTTTGATTATGTATGTATGGTCCTGTTAATGTCACTGCATGTCTGAGACTCGTCACAAGCATTTCAATGCCCACTTTTCCCAGTGTGTTAACAGTGAAGATGATAATAAATGCCTCTTGACTCCATGAGGAAACAAGTTTATAAATCTTAAAGAATGAGTTTTTTTTTTTGTGAAAATGTAAAAAAAGCAGAAAGTTTTCTGTGATGGGTATGTTTAGGAGTATATAACATACAGTTAGAATAGAGTATTTGTACAGTATAAAAAAACTTAGCCTATGTCTATGGAGAGTCCTCAAACAAACCAGACGTGTGTGTGTGTGTGTCAGACAAGTGTCAATACGTTGCCTTAACTTAAGACAAATTAAAATACTGATTGATTGGGGGGTAACTGTAATTAAACGGCAGAGGCCATATTCTTTTTTTAACATAACGTTACAAGTTGACATTTCAATGGTGTTTGAAAAGCATTTCGATAACCATAAAAGTTACATTATTAGTAAGTTAGAAGAAGTGTATTACCTGACGACTGACGTCTAACAGACACGACACGAGGATGTATCCAACAGGCTTAGCCTATGCGATACGTTGTTGACAAAACGTGACAAGTTTACATTATAAATATATAACACAGATGTTAGTGTTGTTGTTTTTAGGAAGATTTTACATATACTTGTTATATATAGGCCTATTATAGGCGATAAATGCTCTTATAGTAGACCTCACTAACATTGTATATCGTAGGCTACTGGCTAAACACGTTCCTTCACCTGCTGGACTCAATTAGCTTGGCGCCATCTCGTGGTCATAAACAGAACGTCAATGTAGCCTTAGATAAAAAAAAAAAAAATTATATATAATTTATAACGGCATCCTGCATCAGTTTTTCCAATCTTGAAAACTCAATCCCTTCTAATTTGATTAATTATTAAATCAACTATGTAACCAATAACATTGTGACATCAAGATGCGAAGCAAAAAGGGCAAAGTAATCGTTACGAAATGCTGACTTTGAACTTCATCCTCCTCACCCAAAAAACTCCCCCTGAAAAATATTTCCCACTGGAGAGCCTCCTCCATACATCCCCGCGGTTTATGGGCAACTCGTTGCGTGACAGGCACACGGGCAGTTTTAGGGGGTGTGGTGTCACGTGGTACTTTTAAATCGATGGAGTTTTGGATGGGTTGTGCAAAGTTTACAGACACATCCAACAAATCAGCATCACCTGAGGACTGAAGCAAGAATGGACGCAGGTCTCAAGCAGATGAACGGGGAACTGGAGAGAAAGGTGAAGATCTTTTATTCTAAAAGTTGACTATGATTATTTTGCTGTATTATTTTAAATAATGTATTTATTATAGCACTTCCCCAACATTAAAGGGGGAAAAAAACAAGAATAAAGACATGAAATATTCACAGAAATATTAATCTGATGCTCTCAAATAAGTCAAACATTGTTTTATTTTTATTTTAAGGTATAATTTGGGTGCCTCAAGGTGTAATTTGTACTTAAGAGAATATTATGGATTGAAATTTATGAAATATCAGAAACATTAGTCAATAATACAGTATAATTGCTTTATTTTTGCTTGCCCTGAGGTTTATTTTGTTCTTTAAAGTGTATTATGGCAAAATAGGACGGAAAAATTATGATATGATCCACATTTTGTTTCAAAGGAATGTGGGTTCACAGGAATGTGAGTGTGACTTTGGTCATGAGTTTTAAAGTCATTCTGCTCACACACACACACACACTACTACTACTACTACTACTACTTTTGAAGCAACATTAGGATTATACAATGGTTAATAAGATAATTATACATTATTCTAAACCTACACAAACCTACTGACATTGAAGCAAACATTATTTCCATTTATTTTTACACTAATTTCCGATTAGAAAGGTGAGTGTACCTTGAAAGTTAGCCATCAGTAGTTTAGCTGCCAATAACAGACACTGTTGAATCTTTAAAAACGAATAACTAAATAAATAAATACATTTTTGCACAAGCAGAGATGGGTCAATGAAAGATTAACTAATGTTCTTTTTAAGGACAAAATAAGGTAATGTGGTTGCTGATCAAGTAAAACAAGTGCCAAGCCCTAAAAAAAATCATTTTATATGATGGATCTGCACTCATTTGATGCGTGTTGATGATGAAGAGTGTTTATCTTGTTTAACAGGGCTCTCTGACCTCATCCTACCTGGAAGAACCGTTAAACAAATCAGGAGTGGTGTCCTGCATCTTCTCTCTGAAAGAGGAGGTTGGCGCTCTTGTAAAAGCTCTGAAACTATTTGAGGTTAGTATCCATCTCTCCATTTTCTCTCTCACTCTTTTTCTCGCTTATTTGCACTTTATCTAAAGCCAAAACATGAGGGTCAAGGTCAGTGGAATGATAGGACAGAAATGCAAAACACTGAACAGAACATATCTGTGGCGTATTAGACAATACTGATGTACACTCAGCTGGGTTAAACAAGTTTATGACATGCCATCCGTTCATAAAACCGCAAGGAAATGTTGACCTCACAACACCATGATATATTAAAGGACAAATTTGCAGATTTTAAACCAGCTTTGTATTGTTAAAATGATGTTAGTATAATAGTTTAATGTTTTCTTGTGGGATCTGAAGGATTATGTGACACTGAAGACTGGAGTAATGACGCTGCTATTTAAAAAATATATATTCAAGTAGAAAACAGTTATTATTATTTATTTCTCAATCTCACTCTTTTATTGTATTTTTGATCAAATGGGTGTAGATGTAGTGAACTGACACATTTTGTTTTGTATAATACACTGTACACCAGTATGAGTTCAGAAAATATAAATCTCAAGGGAAAAAAAGGCACAGAGCTGTTACTGGGACATTTTTGTACCTTATTTACCCTTAAATAGTACATATTAATACCTTAAAGGTACATGTTAGTAACTTTTAGTGTTTGTACCATAGGGTACTGCCCCAGTGACAACTCTGTCCCTTTTTTCTGAGAATAAAAAGAGCAATAATAGGCTGAGAGAAAGCTTAAGGCCATTGTGACCTGTCCATGACGTAGATGTCACGCGCATAGAAAAATCAATAATATCAAGCAGAATTGTGCTTTGATGAGATGAACGGATTTTACACCCAGACTCACAATAAGAAAAAAGTGGTTACATCTGCTTACCTTTGAGGTTCTAATATAGACCCTTTAGGGCTCGAAAGGCTGTACATAAGGTATTTTTTTCCTTTTTTTCCCTATTTTTCTAGGATAAACACTCTGACACTCATTGATAGGTATATCAACATTGAAACTTTGTGTTTAGGTGTCTCAATACACAAACACTTGTGGACATGCTTACAGTGTGTGTGTCCTGTAAGAATGCCAAGATTCCTTGAATCATCTCCAAAGTGCTTGCCTATTTGTATCAAAGTTCAGTATACTTTATTTTTGCATGTTGACTTTTCTTTTGCCTACGTGCAATGAAATATACTCCCAAGTAGATTGACTGAATTCATTTCAAGAAATTATAACTACAAAAGCACAGTGATAAAAAATGAAACAACCGTGTCATTTTTAAAGAAATGCATGTTGTTGTTTTTTCTAAAAGCGAATAATGGTCGACAACAGAATGTTTATGTGCAGGAAAAACTGACTGCAGAAATGATTGTGGGTTTTATTCATTGTTCGGGTATATATTTTAAAAAGACATCACAATAAACATTAAGGTCTTTTGAAGTTGTCTTTATTTCTAGTAAGTCGACTGAACACAATATTTTTAGTTTATCTCAAGTCAAAATCCTTTGTATGATTTAGTTAAGGTGAAATTAAATTATAAAATGCCAAAATATTATTATATTGACCTACATTGACATTTTGGCTTATGTCTAAAGAAAACATTTTTTATAATAATTCATCATTTTACTTTATAGGAATATTTTTGTAATGCTAAATTAAAATGTATTTTAAAAAATTAGAAAAAATTAGAGTAAATTAAAGTAAATTGCATTGCATGCCAATACATGCAGTGCTTTCCTGAAACTCTAGAATCTTGAAATCCTAATCTTCTCTGGTGCTTTCGTTCAAGTCAATAATGGATATGGGCCAAACTTGCACCCCCTAATGCTACTATAAAGATAAAAGCTTGGCCTGTGGCTTCTGATTGGTTCTTCTGTACCACCCTACTCCACCCCCTTAAAACACCCCCTACTCCACCGTCATAAGTAAAAGCAATTTCCTCCTGCCTATTCATTCTTAATGGATACAATACCAATAATACTGTTCATCAATATCATGATATCTTTATATTTTAGATTGTTAGGACGGTATAAAACACAAACCAGAAATAACCACAAATAGACTGTTTTAGACTGGCTTTGTGGCATTATACATGCAAAAAACAGAACGAATGCAACAAATGTTCTGACTGAACCCGTTGACATGCTGACAACCATGCAGAAAAATAATGCCTCAACTTTCTGCTGTTGTGTTTTGATGGTAAAGTATGTACCCAAGATTCATATGGACTCAATCAGAACCACATGGAATGGGAGGGAGAATATTACAGATGAAAAGGGACCAGAGAGGGTCCAAGGCATTGTAAAACCCATCCGCCTTCTCTGCGGGCCTATGGCAAACAGCAATGAGTGTCCGCCCTCTGTGAGCATGTAAACTCATAAATACAAACACATTTTAACTTGAACTGTGCAAAAACAGCCTCAGTCCTATTGGCTGAAGAAAAGCTCCAGAAGCCAAAATGTGTATTTCACAAATGTTTGTTTGTGTGTGTGTGTGTGTGTGAGAGAGAGAGAGTGTGTGTGTGTGCAAGCTTTTCATGTAATATACTAAATGTCAAGTTTTTTTCCCCTCTGATATACCCTACATTATTGGGACAAAATGTTTCCACAAATGTAGCATTATTCGAAATCATAGTCCTTGTGGATAATGTTTTTGGTCCCCATGAGGAACAGCTATCCCAAAACACTTCCCATTGGAAAATCAAAAAATGCAAGAAGCTTTCTGAGTTTAGGGTGTGGAAAATACAGTTTGTACAGTATAAAAAACAGTATGTCAGTGTAATGTGCCCATACACACAGAGTAATGCCTCCCGTTAATTAAAAGTTAATTATGAAAAGGGAGGAACACACACAGAAGCCTATCAAACACTCTTAATCATGTCATGTTTGTGATATATACTTCTATATACTCTTGCTTTTTTCCCTTAGATGTACTAGCTTAGAGTGCCACCTAGTGTTGAAGAAAGACTATACAATTTGAATGTGACAAAAAATTTAGATAAAGTCAGATTTCGAAACATCCTAAAACAGGAGTAAATATGAAAAAAAGACCTTCCCTTGATCATAATATAAATTAGAGTGAATAAATATTTGATTATATACACTGTTAGACCTTACCAGGTTTTTACAGTCAAATACTGGCAACACTGTTGCCAGTAATTTACTGTAAAAATGCACTAAAACTAATAAGTTGTATTTTTTAGTTAACTTGAGTTTTAGTGCATTTTTACAGTAAATTACTGGCAACAGTGTTGCCAGTATTTTACTGTAAAAAACCTGGTAAGGTCTAACAGTGTATATATACATATTTACGTTTATATGAAATTGGCCTTCTGAAATAGGCCGAACAAGCAGTAGTAGACTTTGAATCATTGAATCAATTGAATCATTTTAAATGATGTAATCCAATGGAACATTTACATATAAACCAATTGTCTGTATTTTGCAGGAGAAAGGAATTAACCTGACCCACATTGAGTCCCGTCCATCACGCAAGAACAAAAAAGAATATGAGATCTTCATCAGCGTGGATCAAGCCTCCTATAAAGCAATGGAGGAAGTTGTTGACAGTCTGCGCACACAGATCAGTGGCCAAGTTCACGAGCTGTCTCGCAACAAAAAGAAAGACACAGGTGAGACACAGGGCAACTCATCGCTCCCAATGAGGGGAAAGAAAAAACACATTTTCAGGTCAGAGAGAAACACTACGAGCAAGAACAGCAGAGTAACCGAAATAAAACACATGTTGTAATCGCTCATAAATGTCATTGTGCAGATGGATGGCAAAGACCCTTGCTCTCAGCCTCTCTAATGGTTGTTTCCAGAATTACATTAGTTTAGTTTTTGAGGACAAACAGACTCATAGAGATGGACTGAAATGTCTTGTTGTAGTCAGTTCAGCAGGGTGGGGGTCAAAGTTCAAAACAAAGACTGACAGACCAACAGACCCATTACAATTTCCCCCTCTATACAATAAGAAAACACAGAGCAGGGACATTTATGAATATTTATGGCCGATGAGGAAAACCAGTCAGGGTCTTCAGTTGTTGGCCTTTTGTTCAGACCGCCTCAGGCTCACTGTTGAACTATGTACTGATGGCCGGACCTCCAAAGAGTTTAACTGTCATAAATCTAGACGATACACAGTTGTGGCTGCTGTAGAGCGAGATTTAGCCTCATCGCCTGGACTCTCCACACAATGCTTTCTGTTTACTACTGTGTCATCCATCTCTGTAAGCGACTAATCGATATTAGCAAGTTCACATATCCACAGCTTAGTTAATTAATCTCAATTTAATAAAAACCCATTGAATTGAAACACTATAGATCTCATTGAAACCGAAATCAGGAATTTCAATGGAAGTCTTTGGGGAGAATTAAAAGAGGAAGACAGCTCAATTTGATCAAACCTCATTTATACAGAAATTAATGTTATTTTAAGTGTAAATGTGTCTAAATTGTCTTTTTAGTAGTGGGACTAGTGGTCTAGGTGGATAAATTGAGTGAAATTTGGGGATAGTTATGAATAATCAGTTATTTCAACTCTTCGTACATTAGCATGTATATTTTAGTCTTTTAGTCTTCGATTGTAAGTGCATGGCTATACCCTTGGGAAAAGAAGTGCACTTAATTGTATTGAATGTGCAGTGTGCATAAAAACATATTTAAAAAAAAGGAGAAAATGTCATTTAAATGGAAAAATTTTAAAATTTTTGAAAAGTGCACTTTGTAACAAAATCAAAAGTCAGTTTTACTTTTTTATCATGTTTAATAACCTTTTATTGTGCACTTAGAAGTACACTTATTTATACTAAAGCGGATGTTAATGACTTGATTCTAATTTTAACTGTAGTTTGTTATTTGATCATTCATTTAAAGTTCATCATTACCACTGTGATTAACACTTTACAATAAGGTTTTATTTGTTAACATGAATGTATTAACTGAGCAATACATTAGTTACTGTATGTTCAGGTTACTTCACAGTGCATGAACTAATGTTTGGATTTTAATAATGTATTAGTACATGTTGAAATTAGCATTAACAAAGATTAATAAATGAGCAGTTCATTATTAGTTCATGTTAACAAATAACTAATGTTAAGAAATGAAACCTTAATGTAAAGTGTTATCGTAATAACAAATACAATTTGGGGGTCAAATACAGACAAACCCAGCCATTGGGTTACATTTTTAAATTACATTTTTAACCCATTGTTTGAGTTTGTCCATATTTGACCCAAAATTGGGTTAAAACAACCCAGCATTTTTTTAAAGTGTATATTTAAATACATGACAGACAAGTTTCAGTAGAAATGACAGTAAATTGTAATTTAGTTTACCATAAATTCCTGTCATTACATTCAGGAGTACACTTCAAAAAGAAAATAGGTTTTAAATGATGACAACACAATTAATTACATTTTAATAATACATTTTTACTTAATTGATATTAGCATCCAATTAGTGTCCAATCGCACTTTCAAGTATATTAAGTATATTATTAATATACAAAATAAGTATATTATATACAAAAAGTATAATATACAAAAAGTATATTATTTCCATTTAAATTATTATTTATAATCGATTGCTGTCAATATCGATTGCATTGAATATTCCTTTAATCAACACTCTTCTTTTTTAAAGTTCCATGGTTCCCCAACGTCATCCAGGACGTGGACCGCTTTGCCAATCAGATTCTCAGTTACGGGTCCGAGCTGGATGCAGACCATCCTGTAAGACACTGTGTGTGTGTGTTGTCTGTTTTTGAAGTGACCGTCTGTGTGATCAGAGAACAGAGCGAAAGTGACGTGAGAGGAACATCTTCATTTTTATTTCAAACGCATGCGTGTGTGTGTGGGTGTATATTTGTTGACACGTAGTTGGTCCATGCGACGCTAAAAGCCCACAGTCAGGATCTGCATCTCACTCTCTATTCTAATGGAAACGGGCGGGGGCTCTCAAATTGATGTCATTGCTTTAATTGAGCCCCTGTAATTATAAATAATTGCCCCTTTCCAGCCGTCATTAAACTGAAATGCATTCATCATGAGCAGCAAACACTCTACAAAGGCTTCATTTGAATGAGTCTTCTGCCTCAGACTAAGGCTACTGAGAGATCAGAACTAGCCACAGATCCACTTTGTGGACTACCTAACATCGCTCTCATTCACAGGGCTTTACGGACCCCGTGTACCGTGTCAGGAGGAAGGAATTTGCTGACATTGCCTTCAACTACAGACAGTAACTATTGCCCTCACTGTTCTTTCTTTTGTCCCCCTCTTTCCCATATATGCCTATAGGGATTGTCCCCACCTCTAGCGCTTTCCCTGTTGTTTTGTTGTGCTTTCTATGGAAAATTACTCCTACTGCCTAACAAAAGGGCTAAATTACAGGGTCCCAGCGCAGTCCGGAGCGCCGGGAGCTTTGTCATCATAATTGAGATGCATTATTCACACGGGCACTACAAAGGGCAGGAGCGTTGAATGCTACGCCCCCTGAGGAAGCTCACATTTACATACACGCTCCATCAATAATAACACCACAACTTATTCTCACTCAGATATGACGTGCAAGCTCGTGTATGCTTAGTACCCTGACATTTGTGCTTATTTCGGTTACTTACAACATTTTAAAGGCTAAAATCTGATTCCACTGTATACTACAGTTGTACAACACTTGTTTGCTTGTTTAGATAGGTACACCCCTGGTTTTACTATACAAATACAAAGGAACCCAACAAGCATTTGGAATCTTGGTTCACCCAAAAATTTAAATTCTGTCATGTCGCATCGCGTCAGTTTTATTTATATAGCGCGTTTTATAATACAGATTGTTTCAAAGCAGCTTTACAGTGATAACAGGAAAATAATGCAATAAAGTATTTTTTGGCTAGAAGAAAATAGTCTCATTGCCCAGTCTCAAGTTCAGTGTTGATTCATTTCGGTTGTAAAAATAATTGAAAAATACTTATAAGGTTCATTAGTTCAAATTAGTTAATTACCTTAGTTGAAATTAATTTTTGATATGTTTTAGCTTGCCTCTAGTGCATCCAAGATGTAGGTGTCTTTGTTTCCACAGTATTTTCTATTTTGATATTTTTAGGTCAAACCGTTCGTCTATCAGTCATATAATGGAGGTCTATGGGGTCCACCTCAAAGAGCATGCACAGAGAAGTCCAAATTAAACATGATTTAATGACTCGTAAATGTAAGTACACATTGATGGCCTAAGACACGAAACGAGCAGTTTGTGTGAGAAAATGAACAGTATTTATATTGTAACCACAGCCACAAAGCGCCCGCGGCCTCAGATCACTTGGACGTGGCTGTGGTTACACAAGGTAAAAACTATATACGTAAATACTGTTCATTTTCTCACACAAACTGCTCATTTCGTGTCTTAGGCCATCAATGTGTTCTAACATTTACAAGTCATTGAATCATGTTTAATTTTGACTTCTCTGTGCATGCTCTTTAAGGTGGTGACCATAGACCTCCATTATATGACTGACAGACACAAACGGTTTGACCTAAAAATCTCAAAATTGAAAATACTGTGGAAACAAAGACACCTACATCTTGGATGCCCTTGAGGTAAGCTAAAACACATAAAAAATTAATTTCAACTAAGGTAATTAACTAATTTGAACTAATGAACCATATAAGTATTTTTCAATTATTTTTACAACCGAAATGAATCAACACTTCGTGAACATGACAAACAATGAACAGCAGGATTTTTATTAACTAACATTAATAAAGATAAATAAATACTATAATGAATTGCTCATTATGAGTTCATGTTAGTTAATGCATTAACTAATCAATAGTTAATAATTTAGTTCACATATCTATACAACAGATCTGGAGAAAACAGTGATGTCATCACCCAGCTCAATTCAGTTCTCGTACAATGTAGTCAGATGTGTCAATGCAGGCAGATCAGTAATAATGTTGAATATTGTCATTATTTACTCACCATCATTGTCCCAAACATATATTATGGGGAACATAATAGGCGTTTGTGTTTATATAATGTCATAGGGTCCAAAACACAAAATACTAAGACATTTTTTTGTTTCAGGTTTAGAGCGATGATGTCAGAATGATGACAGAATTTTTATTTTTGGATTATGGGATGGATAAAACTTTATAAGTGTTTTTGTATTATAAAACTAAATATCTTAGTTTAAAAATATGTAGCAAAGCAAAGTTTGTTTTAAATAATACAACTATAGAGACAAACGTGTGTGTCCTAAACATGAGCTAAGCACCTCTCTCCTCTGTTAGTGGACAGATTATTCCACAAATTGAATACACGGCTGAAGAGAAGGCCACATGGGGGAAGGTTTTTCGAGAGCTGAAGACTCTGTACCCTACTCACGCCTGCCGTGAACACAACCTTGTTTTTCCACTGCTGGAGAAGTACTGCGGCTACCGTGAAGACAACATCCCGCAGCTAGAGGACATCTCACGCTACCTGCAGTGTAAGATCATCTTACAGTAGAGCTGGCTTGAAGTCATACAATGTAAAAGTGAAGATTTAGTGTGTGAACTGTACTCATATCTCACCCTTTGTTGATTCCTCAGCATCCACTGGTTTCCGTCTGCGTCCCGTGGCCGGTCTCCTCTCCTCACGTGACTTCTTAGCTGGTCTCGCTTTCCGAGTGTTTCACTCCACCCAGTACATTCGCCATAGCTCCAAACCCATGTACACACCTGAACCGTGAGTATACATACCAAGAAGCTGCCACAAATCTCCATCTGCGAAATAAATATCACAAATACATTTTTAGAATATTGAAAAGTGATCATATAATACTTGTAATAAAACAGCATGTATTTATTTCCTCAGGGACATCTGTCATGAGCTGCTGGGTCACGTCCCACTGTTTGCCGACCCAAGTTTTGCCCAGTTCTCACAGGTTGGTTACCTTTACATGCTTTAATATAATGTACAATAATATAATATGCAAGATATTGTTACAGTGGTTTCAGTTTTTGTCTTTGTTCATCAATTGCCTCGGTTTTTGATTTGCCCTCATGTGTTACGCCTAATTATCAAATTTAGTCTCTAGTATATGTCCCTGTGTTTTTATAGCCCAGATCTCATCAATGTACAGATGTAGTTCTGTTTCCACTGTTTTTATTTTGATTAAAGAAAGCTGCCTGCAAATCCAGCTCTTTTATTTCTGTCTTTACAACCCCTTGCTGACAATAATATTAATGACCTAAATTATTAAAGGGATACTCCACTTTTTTGGGAATTAGGCTCATTTTACCACTCCCCCAGAGTTAAACAGTTGAGTTTTACCGTTTTCTAATCCATTCAGACGATTTTCTGATATTTAGAAGAATATCAGTAACCAGACAGTTCAATTGTCCAGACCAGAAACTGTCTGGTTACTGATATTCTTCTAAATATCAGAAAATCGTCTGAATGGATTAGAAAACGGTAAAACTCAACTGTTTAACTCTGGGGGAGTGGTAAAATGAGCCAAAATCCAAAAAAAAGTGGAGTATCCCTTTAAGTGAATTTATTGTGTAGCCTACTGACTCTTGACCAGTAGATTTCCATACTAAATGAGTAAATAGTAACTGTTTTGTTACACAACTTACATTTTTATTCTGTGACAGAAATAAGCCTCCATAGAATTAGGCTTGTTAGCTGAGAATAAAATATCTGCTTGATACTTGATATTTTAAATGTGCATTTTATCAGTGTCATGATATCTAAATGTGATGTTTTCGGTCTGATCAGGAAATCGGAATTGCCTCTTTGGGCGCCCCTGATGAGTTCATAGAGAAGCTGGCCACAGTAAGTAGATTAAAAAGAAGGATTTTTCACATTTTAACTGAGGCCGAGTTATAAGACCACACATTACATTTGGCTCTCTCAATTTTTTTTTAATTATTATTATTTGTAGGTCTACTGGTTCACTGTGGAATTTGGTCTGTGCAAGCAAGGAAATGAAGTTAAGGCTTACGGTGCAGGTCTGCTCTCATCCTTTGGCGAACTGCAGGTGCTTATGTGGTGCCTTTCTACTTCTACTTCCCTGTGCTCCAATATGGTCTAACTTAAAGGAGTCGTTCACTTTAAAAGAACTTTTGCTGATAATTTACTCACCCCCATGTCATCCAAGATGTCCATGTCTTTCTTTCTTCATTCGAAAAGAAATTAAGGTTTTTGATGAAAACATTACAGGGTTTTTCTGCATATAATGGACTTCAATGGGAACCAAACGGTTCAAGGTCCAAAATACAGTTTCAGTGCAAACTGCAAAGTGTTCAAAGGGCTTTAAACGTTTCCAGATGATGAATAAGGGTCTTATCAAGCAAACGATCGCTTAAAAAAAAAAAAAATTAAGTTTTATAAGCTCAAATGATCACCTTGCTCTGTTCTGTGTGACTCTCTTGTTCGAACTCGTTCATCAAAATGAATCTTTTTCTGAGTCAATTCGTTCATTTCGTTCGTTGAATGAACCAAATGACATGAAAAAAGATTTGTTCATTAGTTCGAACAGGAGAGTCACGAACGTGCATCATAGAACAGACCAAAACGACCATTTGAGCTTAGAAAACGTAAACTTTGTTTTTTTTTTTTTTTTTTAAATGAGTGATCGTTTCGCTTGATAAGACCCTTATTCATCATCTGGAATCGTTTAAAGCCCTTTGAACAGTTTGCAGTTTGCACTGAATCTCTCTTTTGGACCTTGAACCGTTTGGTTCCCAGTGAAGTGCATTATATGGAGAAAAACCCTGGAATGTTTTCATCAAAAACCTTAATTTTTTTTCAACTGAAGAAAGAAAGACATGGACATCTTGGATGACATGGGGGTGAGTAAATTATCAGCAAAAGTTTTTTTAAAGGGATACTGAGTGCACGCACTGAGACGAGAGAGGTATCAACTCGTCTTAGTTAAGGGAATAACATAGTTTAATATGAAAAAACGATTGAGTATCCCTTTAACAATGTGAACTGGGTTATCACTGTGAGCTTTAAGGGAAAAGAAAAAGTTTTTCTTTTTTTAATGGTATGACTGGGTCAAGAGTCATACACCGATGGACAAAAATATGGCCACAGTAGAGATCAGACTGAAGTTTAGATGTTATTCTACTGTCTTGCAGTACTGTTTAACAGACAAGCCCAAACTCCTGCCCTTTGATCCAGAGAAGACCTCAATGCAGAAGTATCCCATCACAGAGTTCCAGCCCGTTTACTTTGTGGCTGAAAGTTTCGAGGACGCCAAAGAAAAAGTCAGGTAAAGTGACTCTAGTTAAATCAACAAAATCTGTCTTTTCTCTGAGAGTGTTTTTTACAGTTATCTATGTGCATTTCTTTTTATTACAGGAAATTTGCCGCCACCATTCCCAGACCTTTCACTGTGCACTATAATCCCTACACACAGAGCATTGAGGTGCTGGACAACACTCAGCAGCTGAAGGACCTGGCTGACAGCATCAGTGGTGCGTCTTCAGTAGTATGAATCTCTTAAACTGTGTCCTCCCCATAATTATACAAGAAGGAATAAAGTAAAATCAGGATCTTCAGAAGAAATTCTGTTCTGAATTTAAAGAAGGGGACTCTTTTAAAAAATATAAAAGTACACTGTAAAAATGACACTAACAAAGAAACTAACTGGTAAAAAAGTTAAAAAAAAAATAATACATTAACATCAGATCAGCACTCACTGTAAAAAAAAAAAATATTTTCTTACTAAACTTAATTAACTGTGTTTATCCAATTGATTTGTCCAATGTATTTGAATTGAGAAAATAAAAGAGTTATCTTAAAGGAGAAGTTCACTTTTAAAAAAAACTTTTGCTGATAATTTACTCACCCCATGTCATTCAAGATGTCCATGTCATTCTTTCGGTCGAAAAGAAATTAAGGTTTTCGATGAAAACATTCCAGGATTTTTCTCCATATAATGGACTTCAATGGGAACCAAACAGTTCAAGGTCCAAAAGACAGTTTCAGTGCAAACTGTTCAAAGGGCTGTTCTGTTCGTAACTCTCCAGTTCTAACTCGTTCATCAAATGAACAAATCTTTTTTCGTGTCATTTGGTTCATTCAACGAACAAAATGAAAGAGTTGACTCGGGAAATGAACGAGTTCGAACAGGAGAGTTACGAACGCGCATCACAGAACAGAGCAAGACGACCATTTGAGCTTCTAAAACTTAAAACTTCGTTATTTTTTTTTTGATAAGACCCTTATTCATCGTCCGAAATCGTTTAAAGCCCTTTGAACAGTTTGCAGTTTGTACTGAAAGTGTCTGTTGGACCTTGAACCGTTTGGTTCCCATTGAAGTCCATTATATAAATCCTGGAATGTTTTCATCAAAAACCTTAATTTCTTTTCGACTGAAGAAATAATTACATGGATATCTTGGATGACATGGGGGTGAGTAAATTATCAGCAATTTTTTTCTCAAAAGTGAACAACTCCTTTAACTTTTGGGAGTAGCCTAAGTAAAAACAAAACAAAAAAGGCCTATGCAAAAAAGAAACTAATTATAATGAGTTATTTTTACAGATAATTATTTCATAACATCTTCGTTTTGAAACATTTAACTTGTCACAATAATTTCTACTCATTTTTATTTTAACACAGTTTAACATAATTTTCTTCAACCGTATAGTGAAATTCAAGGTTAAAAGTGTCATTTTTGCACAGTTTTTGTTGCTCATATGAGCAGGAGATTTTTGTAGCTTTATTTGTTATGTTAATACGTTTGAATTGAATCCACAAATTCATGTTTGTCTTTTCCCCAGGAGAGATCTCAATCCTCTGCAATGCTCTGCGGAAGATGAAGTGAAACGATGGAGATTAAAGAAGGAATGCTGTAAAATGAAAGAAGCTTCATAAGCATCATCTATATATTGCTTTTAGGTTCATCTAACATCACTTCTATAGTTTTGCTAGAGAGCATGCTATTAAATATTAAATTAGTCATTATGTAGCCTATTGCATGTAGACCATATTTATAGTCTAGTTTTTGTAGTCGAAATATATGTAGGCACCACGTATTTATCTGTCAGTTAACGAAATAGCATGCACGAAACATTATAACAAATCGCATGTAAATACCAGAAAGCTTCGGGCATTCTGAGGCGCGCATCTCGCAATATAGGAAATTTGTTATTTTATATGATACATTATCATGTAGAATATTTTAGAATCTTGTTTAATCGTATAAAAATACAGATTGCCTGCCGTCCAGAATTTGCTTCAGCTGTTGATTCTTGTTGCTGTAATTTTTCCAAAACCCGCAATCAATTAATCACAGGATCAAAGGCTTGTCGAAACGAATTGGCGGGAATGCTTTTATTTTTACATGCGTTTATGTTTTATTAAACCAAAGCTTAATAATTTTCAGTTTCGCTTGACTGTAACGCAATTCAGTATATGCATTTATATCATTTATCTGTGACTTAAATGTTATGCATGCATTGTCACGTGTATAAAAGAATGAATAAAAGGTATTGTTATTATTAAAAATGAGTTGGCTATATATTTCGTTTGTATATAATTTTTTATGGAGGCCTATATAATAATTAATTTATTATTACCATTAGCCTATTATTTTATAGCATTAACGCGTGAACAGCATGCGCACAACACAAGTCAGTTTCAGTACCTTGGAGAGCAGCACGATATCAATGCCCTAATTTTGCATCATTTAGGACCCTAAAAACAAAAATATATTTATATATTTCTAATAAAGACTCTCTTTGGTCTGACCTTTCACAAAAGAGCGTTTAGTTTATGTAATTTGTCGCTTTTGGCCGCGAAGCACCTGTGAAATGTCACGTGTCACGGCTCTTAGCCTATTTGCTTCCCGTGAAACAAAAGAGACAAATTCATGACGCATCTCAGGAT